TTTCATTCTTAACGTCGATAAACAGAGCAATTTTTGTAACAAAGAATCATCGTGACTTTCACGACATCAAAATAAAGTCATTTCTCTCTTTATTGACTCGGCGTGTTCCTTGGGAGGCTGTCGCTCCGATATTCTCCATTCGTCAGCCACCCCGCGATCCGCATTGTCAGGATTTATCGCAATTACACGTTACAATTATAGATACATTATTCTCGGTGGCGTCTGGAAGGAACGCTCGTTGGCTCGTTAAAGCGCACTTTAAAAGACGACGCTATTGTCGCTGAGTCACGCTCTACGTCGAATGACGCAGACACTCGGTCGAGACGTCTGTCTCTCGTACGCAGATACGCTATTAACGTACGTTTCTATCTGTAGCTCTATCTCCGTAGGTGTTTTTTTTTTTTTTTTTATAAACAGTTTATATATCCCCTGTGATTTCACAGTTATTCCGAAACATAATGGACGTTGGCTAGAGGCTCTGGCAGGCGCGTTTTGGAATTATGCATAGCGCGTCAAAAATATACACGTGATTCTCCGTTCCGGATTGATGCAACGCGAATCAAGAATCTCTCCAAACGCCAGCGAGAATATTTCTAAACACTTCTAAATTTGAAAACTCAGTTATATCGAAAGAGACACGCCAGTTTTTAGCAGCTGCCTAGTAAACGCGCCTTAGAAATGTATAATTTTGCAGAGCTAACAAGAAACGTACTGGAAGACGTTGCATGTTCGTCAATGAAAAATTCGCTAATAATCGGAAAATTCGTAGAGTATGAATTTACTAGGCTCTCAATTTACGCCAAAATGCATCCGACGAAAGATGTGTTTAAGTTTATTTATATCCGAGTACGATCACCTGGGTAAAGTGGCAATCGCCGGCACTGCGTGGCCATGACCAGACAACAATTCGCGATTCGGTGTGTTCAACGCGTTGATTATTCCCGCAATCACACAGATTCGTACCAAATCGTTCCGTAGCTTTGAATTACTCAAATAACGAAAATAATAAATAAATACGACTAAACATATTGTAAAATTTTTCAATACGATTGGTTCTTGTTTTTACTTCCTTATAGATCTAAACGTATAAGCCTATCATATTGAAGAATTTTACAACAGTTGCAAAGCTGCTTTCTTTGCTGAACGCAGCTAATAATTAATTGCCCGTGAATTTCCGCCGATTAACGTAGATTACCTTAAATCTCGGTTCAACTAGCTCTTCATCTTTCTCCTAAAATTAGAAAAAGTTGAAGAGCTACTTGAATCGAGATTAAAATTAAACTACGTTAATAAAAAAAAAAAAAAACGGGCATAAATTAATAGAAATTTCGCTAAAATTACCCCTAACCTAATGAAGATTCGAAGATGCGTGACATTCGAAGTGACCCGAGCGTGCGTTTCGCGAACAGATTACAGAGGGTAGTTCCCAGAAAGCGAGAATCAGTTATCAGCGAGCGCGCGGGCGGGCGGGCGCGGACGAGAGCGAAGGCAGCGCGCGCAGCGTCGGAAACGCGCGACGCGCACAACCGATTTTGCGAGCGCCGCGCCGGATATGCTATATCGACGGTGCTACGCTCTTTCGAAAGTGCGCCAGGGGTCGGCGTCCGCTTCTACCCCGTCGTAGGACAGGTTGCATAGTGCGCGGAGAGAGAGATAGTCGCAGGAGAAGGGAAAAGCGCGCTTGCGAGCACTTGCGAGTGGCGTCGTCCTTATCGTCCTTGTAGTCTGGACGTCTGTCGCGCGCGCAAATTACGGTCGTTCGATCGACGTTCGGACGGACGGTCGGGGAGAGAGAGAGAGAGAGAGAGAGAAGGAAAAAAAAAGAGAAAAGCGAAAGGCGCGAGGAGAGAATTTCGATAGCGCCAAGAGTATCGCGAGCGACAGACGTTTTTTCCCAGTATCGAGCAAAGGCCCCCCTGGAAACTCGATTTGCACTCACCTTCCGGTGACTCCGGTCGATCAGTGGCAGGGACACTCGCTCACACTCGCTCGCCTGGAGCTCGTCGAGATCTCTCGCGGGAGTTCGTTGTACCGCGCCGAGCGTGTTGTATATTCGCGAGGTGCTCCGTTCGCGCGCGCTCAGCTGACTCTGCTGGCTGACTCCGCGCTGACTCCAATTCCGTGATACGGATAACAGTGCGGGACTAAAGGGGCGCGTGTGCGGTCGCGCGGCGACATCGGTATTCGGTAATCATCGCTGCCATCGTAGGATACGCGGCTCGTCGACCGCGAAAAAGAGAGAAGGAGAGCACGCAAGGAAGACGGAGAGAGAGAGAGAGAGAGAGAGAGAGAGAGCGTGGAGGTTAGGTCAGCCCCACCGACGTTGACTCGACAGTTTTCCTCGTCTCGCGGAGCGTCGTCGCGACGCTAGGGACTTTGGCGCCACCGCACACTCGTGCGGCCGTACAACACAGCGAGCTAAACAGCTGATGCACCACCGATACCGGCGAGATGTCAAATATTGTAAGTGCACGCGGCGGTCAGATTGCTCCACATTGCTCCCGAGCACTCGTACGACGCGAGTAAAAACCGTGTTTTCCCTTCCCCTTCCCTCTGCTCACTTTGTCATCGCAACGTGGCCGCGAAAATAAAATTCCCAGACGCGAGCGATACGAACGTATCAAAGTTCCCGTTTCGGAGCCTCTCATGACGGGAACTACCTGGCCCTCGTCTCTCTCGATTTATTAAGATGATCTTGAACGAGCGAATCTAGCAAGTTTCATCTTTCCGCTCTCGTGACTTGACAGTTTTTCCGAATGTTATTATGTAACTTGCAGCGAAATTAACAATCTAGGGATCTCCCTTGTGTTAATTTTAATAATTGTAACACGCCTTATGTAGAAAACTTATACAAAAATGATTAGAATATTCCTTTTTGTTGTTTAGTTTATGTAAATAGAATTCATTTACATACAAATAAAGCAAATAACATACAGAATTAGGAATATATGGTTTTGTTAGGAAGAATTTTATTGTACACAATGCTCAGAAATTTATTTTTGCTGAATAAATATGAATTTGTCTATATGTTGTGTTTATTTCTTTCCAGATCCTACGTGTGCAGTCTCCAGAGGGTACAAAACGTATAGAAGTACTACCTTCTGATACAATTTCTCAACTTTACGAGAAGGTACAGATTGCAAGAGATGTTTTAGTTTTTATAAACATATATTATATGACGATAACCAGTAAAATTTATCTCTGATTATTTCTTGCTTAGGTCTATGAAGCCTTCGATTTAAATAGTTTTGGGTTTAATCTCTGTAAGCAACGAAGTCAGAAGGAGCCACTTACGTCTACTCGAAGTAGAACGGTGTCAGGAATCGGTCTTTCTCATGGAGATATACTTTATCTTGTGCCAGCTAATGGCACCCAATTGTGGAGTGCCCCATCTACCAGTAGTGCCTCCAATAACCCTTCTACAGGTATCAGTTTATTCCCACAAGTGATAAAACTACAATACATATTGAAATAGTAGATAGCATTAAAATAATATATGTATAGTATGCTGTTTATATTATCCAATATTAAACATGTTATTATTTATATTAACTCTTAGTACACACGCTTGATTATTCTTGCCATTTATGTTCTATTTCTTTTCTTTGAAATACTGGGAGCACCAAGTGATTAATTATAACATTTATATATAACTTTTTAAATATGCGATCTTATAAATTTTTCTCAAAGATGTTAAAGAATTATTTAATAATTGTTGTGTATTTATATATATAAGCATTAAAAATTAATTGGGGACACGAATGGCTCGTCGTGTGTAGTAAAGGTTAAATCGGTAAATAAATTTTTGTAAAATGTATATCTAACGTTATAAACTACAAAAAGTTATTGAATGGATATAAGTCATTTTTTTGTTCGTCAGACTTTTATATTGTTCTGTATAATTTAGAATCAGGCCCAATGGACACTGCAAACGGAATTACAAATCGTTCGTCTGGTCCGTCACGATCTCTGCCAAATGTAGTCGAGAACGACATCGATGAGCAATTATGGAAATTGGACGGCAAAATTCAGCGTAAACGCGACGAAAAACTGTAAGTAATCTAAATAATTCAAAATTAGTATCAAAGTAAAAAAGGAAAATTAATTTTTACAGTTGTCGGCATGGAGCGAGAGGATGCTGCGTTCACTGTTCACCTCTGGAACCTTTTGATGAGATTTATTTGAAGGAACAAAATATCAAACACCTGTCTTTTCATTCATATCTCAGGAAGCTCACTGCCGGAGTTGATAGGTACGTATGAAATGCGTCGTGAAATAATTATAAACATTACAAGATATTCGACTGTATCTCGTATATATTTGTCGCAGGGGCAAGTTTATACAATTAGACGACATAAGCTGCCGTATAAAGACTGGCTGCAAAGACCATCCGCCGTGGCCGCGAGGGATCTGCAGCAAATGCCAACCGAATTCAATCACTCTGAACCGCCAGACTTATCGGCACGTGGACAACGTCATGTTCGAAAATGCTAGTTTAGTAGAACGTTTTCTTAATTATTGGCGCAGCACTGGGCACCAGCGTATCGGCTATTTATACGGAAGATACGAAGTGCATTCGGATGTTCCGCTAGGAATTAGAGCAGTCGTTGCGGCCATATACGAACCACCGCAGGTACATAGCGCTCGTTCAATCTTCGATAAATCTATAAACGTACACTTTTGGTTAACAAAGTACCGAGATAACGTTCACGTTTTTTTTTTTGGTCAGGAAAGTACAAAAGACACGATAAGACTTCTGCCGGACGAGAAGGAAGCGTTAGTCGAGGAATTAGGCCGGACACTTAATCTGAGGAGAATCGGATGGATTTTCACTGACCTCATAGCCGACGATATCAAGAAGGGAACGGTAATTTGATATACTCTTATTTCTCGTGTAATGTATTCTTAATACCGAATTCGTACGTGCGGCGATTAACTTTGTCAGTTTTATTCGATCAGGTCAAACATGTCCGCAATATAGAAAGTCATTTTCTATCTGCTCAAGAGTGCATTATGGCTGGGTACTTTCAAAATCGATACCCAAACCCCTGCCGCTTCTCGCCTAATGGTTATTTCGGCTCAAAATTTGTAACTGTTTGCGTTACAGGTAAGTCTCAATCTTACATTACATGTATCCTTTTTGTTTCGAAAATATTAGGTTGATTAAAAAATTTATTCCTCCTGTCATACTAGAACACAAATCACATGTACTATTAAAAATGTCATGAAATTTAATGTACTTTTAAGTTAAACATTACACAAAATTAAATTCAATTTTACTAAATTAAATTTACTGTATTTACAATTAAAAAGTATATTTATGTATACATGTACATGAAATTTAGTATACTTTTCATAACATTTTACGAAATTTTTTATTAAATTTAGTACATTTTTTATTAAATTTTTATGTTAATTTGCATTTAAAAAAAAAATTTTAAATGAGTAAATGTTAAATTTAAGTTACGTATAACTTCATTTTCATTGACAACATTAAATATTTTGAATGTAAACTGCTTGAAACTTGCATTACATACGGAAGCAAATTTTTTTTTAACAGAAAAAGAAGGAATTTTTTTATCAACCTAATAATATACAATAACAATATTTAAATTTCTTTCGAATATTACGAAATCTCTATTACAAACGCCATGCAAAACTAGTGCTTATCAGATATATATATCTTCGAAATATTACAGGAGATGATAAAAATCAAGTACACATGGAGGGCTATCAGGTATCCAATCAATGCATGGCGTTAGTACGAGATGGCTGTTTGGTTCCTACAAAAGACGCACCGGAATTGGGCTATGTGATCGAGTCGACTGATAAACAATACGTTCCGGATGTCTTCTATAAGGTAAGTTCAAACATATCGATTTTATTTTCTATTCGATTACGTTTTCTTGAATCACTTGGATCTAATAATACATGTATATCGAACGAGTGCCTTCGAATTTTCACATATGTCTATCGCAGCTTAATATTTATTGGAATTTACGCAATTTTGTCGCAACTTAAGATATAGATATAGGATATGAACAAATTATAATACATGAAAGGAGAATAGTTTTATAACTCAAAATCGATTGATTAAAAATACATTTAAGTTGGAGCAATAAACGTTCACTTCGTACATGTATAATGAAATAATAAAATTCGTTTAAACGATGGCTCCTACGGTGTGATTACCGCGAACCTGAAAAAAAAATCACGATCTTTGCGTTTTCAATGATCATCGCAACTCGAGAGCAAGGAATGAGAGAGAGAGAGAGAGAGAAAAAGAGAGCGGAAGAAAAAGGAGAGATACGGAGGGAAATAATGGCGAGGTAGAAAGGCGAGGAAAAAACTTGTCCAAGTGCTTAGTCTTACAGCCGCTCAATCGTTTAATCGCACGCGAGGGGCCAGGTAAATCGGTCGGTCGTTAAAATCGATATTACAAGCTATGCGTTGTTACCTCATCACGTTCATAAAAATATACGTAGTTTATATATTTGTATATATATATATATATACGCGCGCGCATAGGTATCTGTATCTGTGTGTATATATTTGTGTATTTTGTATATATGTACGTGTACACAGGTGGGCCTGATCTTCACTCGCTTCAATACAATATGTTCTTTTCTTTACGATTGCGTCTACGGTTACGTACTAAGAGTTACAATCGTCGGAGTCTTTCCCGTTCGGGAACCGAAACAAGAGCTTTCGTTCATTCATCCATCCGTTCGAACACACA